AACCCGTTTATTTCTTTTTCTTAGAAAAATTCCCGTAATTAAGATGATTCGGAAGCTTGTGAATCTAAAGATCTAGTTTGCTATTGTTCAACTAGCGCTCTAGCGCATACTTCATTTTTTTTGTGAATTAACACGTCTTCCCTCTTTGTAAACAGTTAATTATTAAATCTTTTCCGTGTCTATTTTTTTCTTATAAATTGGGTGTTTAGTTATGGTAACGTTGTGTACATTCGGGTGTAACATTTAATTGATGACCTGGAAAAGAAATCGTTCGAGTCTGTCGTTCTTTATTTACTTAATGTTCTTCAAAGATTTGAATGTGCATTTTGTGACTACTCGAGTAGTTTACGTAGATCGGATGGGTATCCTTCTGTTTAGAGAATAACTAGTAGTAGATGAATCGACAGTAAACACTCAGGAAGTAAGCTAAATCTATTTGCTACATAACGGAGGTTGTCCACTCTCCATTAATTTAATTTGTTGGCCTATATCCATTTAAAAGATATGTCAAATACTAGTAGTTCCCTAAAATGTTAATTTTAATACCTTTGAGTTGGGATATTCCGTTCTGTAAATGAAATGAAATGAAATGGGGTTTAACGTCCTATTGTTCTGCTCCTAACCTGGGCTAATGAAGACGGGCATACGCTATACAGTGTGCTATGAGGGAAATTATGCCCGGGCAGCGGTGCTACGGCCTACTCTTATATCGAATTCCAACTGCCAAGGGATCTTTTACGTGCACGCCAATGTATACACGGGACCTCAGTTTTCCGTCCCATCCGAACGACTAGATAGCTGTCCTTGTCAGGCCCTCCATCCTGCATCATTGACAAGGGGAAACCACGCCGGAAAATCTGAATGAACTTTCTCGGCCAATGCAGGGATCGAACACCCGACCTCCAGGCTAGCGAGCCAGCGTCTTACCCACTTAGCCACTTGATCCCCTATTACTTTCTGTACTAACAAAGATATGATGAATTGAACATTTTGCAAGATTCAACGTCCTCGGTACACCGTTACATGACGTATTGAAAGTTTAATTCGTTATGATGGTAATATGACGTATTAATAGTTTGAATCATAATGATGGTAATATGACGTATTAATAGTTTGAATCATAATGATGGTAATATGACGTACTGAAAGTTTAATTCATAATGAGGGTAATATGACACATTGAAAGTTTAATTCGTAATGACGGTAATATGACGTATTGAACGTTTAAATCATAATGGTGATAATATGACGTATTGAACGTTTAAATCATAATGGTGATAATATGACGTATTGAACGTTTAAATCATAATGGTGATAATATGACGTTGTAATATGACGTATTAAAAGTTCAATTCTTTATATTAGTGTGTAATATGAGATATTGAAAGTTTAAATCATAATGACGGGAATATGATACATTGAAAGTTTAATATATAATGATCAATCTTAACGTGGGACATTTTGTTTTTTTGTTGTTTATCAGTATCATTCCCCCACCACTTGCTAAATCGTAAATTATTCAGAATTGATTTTCTAAACCGTCATATACTCCTTAGATATAAACGTAACATGATATGCCTTGTAAATTGATACACCTATCTATTATTGATAGATTACTAAGTACATGATGTAATTTTGTTAACTCCCCGGTCTCATATCATTAATATCAAATAACATAAAAGCTGGTGTTATTCTATATAATATATAGCTAATTAACACAAGATTTTTTCATGCAAGTAAGCGATAAAAGATATCGATTCTCTGTAGCGATGATATGAAGATGAGTAAACAATATCATTCTACATATTATATATTTACCCTTGTCGGTGCACGTGGGGTCTCCATGGACCCCATGCACATGTTTTATAATGTTGTGTAATAACTACTGGGCACTGCTTTCCGAAATTTAGTGACTTTGTCTCCTATACATTTTTACACGTAGCGAAGAGATCGGTATTCATCTGCTTCCCACATGCAGAGTTACGTTACAAATCAGTCCAAACGCTTGAGGGGGGACATGGCGATTTTGCTAATGTGTTTTCTGCATGTTATAAATACCAAAAATTAAATGAATTCCAAATATTCAATGGTTTTTATATCAAGCGTGAATTGCCATTTAACCTCTTTATCACATAGTACACAAAGTAGCAATTTGTTGAGAATTATTAAATCTTTTCCATATGTCACTAAAATGTTTTTGGATAATATTTTAGTTGTTTTTCAGATGTCAAATATGAATGCAAATACAATCCAAACCGCTGCCTTTTAATTCAAATATATCTGTACGTAAAAACTTTGAATTATAACTGGGGTACATATGGACCCCATGATACCTGCTGTGTGATTCTCACAACGTGAACCCACAAGGGTTAATACAGAAGAAGATATGGGCGAGAGAGAGAGAAATGGGGTTTAACGTCCACTCGACACAAACTAGGTCATTTCGGGACTAACATACGGTTTAATTTTATTTCAAGAATTCGCTTGCGCGTAGGGGTCTTTAACAGTGGGAGGAAACCGGAGGCCCCGGAGAAAACCCACGAGGTTGGACAGGCGACCCTACTCTTTGCCACGTACAACCGGGGATTCGAAACCACGCCAGTTGACTCAATGACAGACTGTATGATACAGCGCGCGCACGTTAACCATTCAGCCATCCACCCCCCCCCCCAGAAGATATGGACACAACAGGAACGCGTGTTAACTATAATTACGTAATATATATATCGTTACATTAAGTATAAACCCAAACAGTTAAAAGACTTGAAAGATTAGTGAGATATCAATTCGGACATTGGTCAATTACAACTTTTAACTAAAATTATATAATAAAATATATACAAAGATACACTATAACAACTATATAGATGAAACGAAATGAGTGTAACGTTCTAATGTTCTGCTCTTATTGGGCTAAAGAAATTGAAACATATTATATAAGTTAGAACTAATAAAAAATTCCGTTTCATATTTGTTATACAAGTCAGCGATAAAAGGTATCGATTTTCTGTATTGGTGATCTGAAGATGTATCGACCATATCTCGTGGCAGTACATCTATAGTGTTTGAACCTAAAGGAATGTTGTTAGATTAGAGTATATACGACGGTTTATCGAGTTAGTTCAGGTAAATACACGTTTAATTGGGACAATCTCGATATTGACACTGTTTACAGCAGCGCTTAAACACACTAAATTAGTTTATTGTAAATGGTGCTTTTCGGGAGTGTTGCCTATAGTGTTTCTAGCTTATGCAAAAATTTAACAAGTGGCAATCTTGCAAATTCATCAAAAACTAGGGGGATTGGGTGGCCGAATGGTTAACGCCTGTGCGTTGTATCAGAAGGTCTCTCTCTCTCTCTGTCTCTTTCAATCCTGCATGGGTTGAAAGATACATTATGTAAGCCATGGATAAAGAGGGAGGTGTTCTTGTTATAATAGTTAAAAAAAACATTCACTGAGAAAGGAATATACTGAAAAATTAAGTCAAATTACTTTATTCTGAGCGAAGTTATGGCTATTTGAAGAATAGCGTAGTTTCGATTTGCATTGCTACCATTGTTACGATAACAAATAAAGTCTCGATTATCCATTTTTAAATCAAATTATAAAATGGCGGTTGTATGTCAATCCTTTAAAACTCACGATCATCCAATGCTCCAGAGAGTTGATTATGGTCCTGTCATGTGAATAAAGCTCTGATTAATAATTTATATAACATTTGAGACCAGAAGAAAGACCTTCAATAGGCAGATATAGCTCTGACATTATGCATCTATAAATCTCTCCGTTCAACCAGTTTAACGTCAGCCGTTTTAATATCCATAAATCCACACTCGTCTTTGTTAATGTTTGTGTTCGTTTTTTTAAGTTTAAAATTGCGAGTCAAAACAATACATTGAGAACAGGTCATATCAAAAAAAACGTTGGAAAGGAATTCAAAGAATTTAATCCTCTGAATCCTTCACATTATAGTTTGTGTTTGCGAATTAACAATTCAGCTTTATTTTACGTTGTTAAAACGCTATAGTTTTTGATCTTAAAGTTCAGTATTTGCTTGATAATGAGACTTGGCGCTATTTAAAATATGTATGTTTAATACACAGGAGAAATTCGTATGAAATGATATAATACAATATGAAATAACACTGTTTTTTTTAGGTAAAAAGACACAATTCTTGAATAACGAAACTGGCCCAACAAAATGAGGATTTTTGAAGGATACAAATCCTAAATCATCTTAAATTATTATTAATCTGATATATACTGAAAACATTGACATTATACATAAAGGCAATAACACTATTTTTATAGTAAAACGCACAATTTTCTCTGGGTCCTCCGATTTCTTCCCAGTGCTTTAGAACCCTACGCGCAAGCGAAATATTGAATTAAAATCGAACCATATGTTAGTCCCGAAAGGACATAGTTTGTGTCCTGTGGACGTTAAACTCTCTCTCTCTCTCAATATTTCTCAGATACAACGATTGAAAACTCTTAACTTCTAAATTGGTCGAGTACCAAAATATCGTTTGTTTATAGTGAATGACTTTACAGAGAGACAAACAGCTGGCATTAATCAAAAAAGTTTCAGATACCGGAGCTTAAACGGTTAGAGTTTACAAATTAATATATATATTTAATAATTAGTACGATTAAAAGCTGATTTATGATGACAAATTATTCTGGTTGGCAGAGATATTTTGCCGAATTAAAAAAAAATACACAATTCTTCAATTAAGATGCTGACCCAATAAGGTTTCAAGTTGTTCTGGCTGGCAGAGATATTTTGCCGAATTAAATAAAAAAAAAGTCACAATTCTTCAATTAAGATGCTGATCCAATAAGGTTTCAACATTTTAACCAGATTTCGTATAAAAATCAATAAAATATTATCGATCTCACCTGTTACTGCTAGCAATAATCTCCAGATCATATTAAGTTACAAATTTTGAATCAAATAAAATCGTATAAAAATCAATAAAATATTATCGTTCTCACCTGTTACAGCTAGCGATAATCTCCAGATCATATTAAGAGCCATGTTACCCTTAATCCCGATCACTAAAATATATGAGTATAGTCCTTCGCGCCCAGTATGAAGTGACAAGGAGTAATGGTTTCACCTTGTTTAATTCCGACCTACTGAATCATGCGTAGGGATGATGAGCGAATGGGATACAATAAGACTTCTCTTTAGTTCAATGTTTATGGGTTGGGTTGTTCAGTCCGAGAACGCTTGACACTTGAAGATTATTGACACTGAGCCAACTGTGTTGTATATCTTGTCTGTAAAACTGGTCCCCTGTTTGTTTGGTTTGAAGGTATCAACCCCATCCGTTCAACGGCTCAAACCATGAATTCAAGACTTGAGAAAAAGAATTGCTACTCGAGTATATTTATTCCCACGAATTGTTCGAGTAACTGCTTATATCGGAGTGAAAAGAATTGAGTGTCATTTCGGGACAATGAATTGACTGCCGCATTTCGGCCTAATTGCTAATGCGTGTTTGCTTGTTGAGCAACTTCAAACATTTGGTATTGACACGTTAGAATTTGCCATCTTTATATTCAATTAACTAACCAGCTTGTAGATATAACTGTGTGTATAAACACAGCCAAATATAAGTACATTATTAGCTACAGTTGGACTCAGACATGCATTAACAGAATTGCCTAGTCTTTAGATCTTTTAAGTTACAAATTTCCATTGTCAACTTTTAATGGCTAATGTAATTAACAAAGGGCGTATACTTATATTACTAATACTTATGTTATTAATACTTAGATGACTAATACTAATATTACTAATATTTACATTATTAATATTTATATCAATACTTATATAACTAATACTTACATTATTAATAGTTATATTACTAATAAGTATATTACTAATACGTATTACTAATATTTATATTAATACTTATATTACTTATAAGTATATTACTAATACTTATTACTAATATTTATATTAATACTTATATTAATAATAACTATATTAATAATACTTATATTAATTATACTAATATTACTAATACCTTGGGGGGGGGGTGTATGGCTGAATGGTTAGCGTGCGCGCGCTGTATTATAAAGTCTGTCATTGAGTCGACTGGCGTGGTTTCGAATCCCCGGTTGTACGTGACAAGGAATAGGGTCGCCTGTCCAACCTCGTGGGTTTTCTCCGGGTCCTCCGGTTTCCTCTCACTGCTAAAGACCCCTATGCGCATGCGAATTATTGAAATAAAATTGAACCATATGTTAGTCCCGAAATGACCTGGTCGTTAAACTCCATCTCTCTCTCTCTCTCTCTCTCTCTCTCTCTCTCTCTCACTAATACCTGTATTACTAATACCTATTATATACTCAATCTTGTATTACCAATACATATTTTATAGATATATTGATATCGATGAAAAATTTTAAATATATAAAAAAATGTTTAGATGACAGTAACTGTAGCGAGATTATCAATGTTTATAATTCTTATTTCAGATAGCAAAATTATCAATTGCAAATCTGAGCACCGGTTCTTAAAGATCTAATATTAAACAACAGTTCTGCTTTACTAAGCCGGAATAGAAAGACTGTTGTCAGTGCCACCATGGATGTTAATGCAAGTAACTGGAATATTTCTTCAATCAAAGCGGATCCTGTTATTCGAGCTATGTATATAGTTCTATTAAGTGGTATATCATTGTGTGGAATTTTTCTGAATATTATTTTACTGGTTATTATAAGACAAAGTGAATCGAAAATTAGACGAAGGAGTGTTCTCATCACAAACACCACCATTGCTGATCTGTTAATCGTCTTAACATTCCCTGTTGATATCTGGTATTCGTTTGAAATTGGTAATCAAGGATGGCTCTGTCTTATGTTCATGTCCATCAAGCTCGTCCCGATATTTGTGGCCCTGACCAGCCTGACTTTGATGTCCTTAGAGAGGTTGTACATTTTGTCGAAACTACTGACACCGGCCCCAACGACAACCTATTATTACCAGACAACAGGAGCTGTAGTTTCGTGGATCGTTTGTACCCTGTTACTCGTAATAAACGGACTACTAGCGCAGCAACTTTGTAGTTTTAATCTAGTCGTTGTTTATGTGCTAATCGTGTTGTTTGTGGTCGAGTTTTTGTTGATTTTAGTATCTTATATCACGAGTGTGGTCATAATGAACCGTTTAAGTACACAAAAACACAATGGTGGAGTATCCTTTGAGGCTAGAACTAAGATAGCCCCATACGTTGCTTCCCAATCTGTAAAACCGACCACAATTACGGGAACGAAATTGGTTGGGCACATATCTGTGGATAGCATGAATTCTAAAGATAATTTTACCACGACGTGCATTCACTCTACAAGTCACGGATGTACCAGTCTCAATCCAACGGCAGCTGAACGATCAACCAGAGGTCCAGCATCTGACAAAAGCCAAGGACCAAGTTCACTATCCCAAACTTCTGGACAGCCTGGACTGATAAATCGAAAATTGGACGCAGTTACACAAAATGTCATAAAAAGAACCGGGCTTTTCGTTGTTGCATTTTTAGCGTGTTATGGACCAACGTTTGTTTTAACAGGGGTGATGGTACAGATTAAATTGCCATATCCTGCTTTAAATTATTCGTTTTGGTTTGTTCCGCTGATTCTCTATGTACATGTAACAATCTATCCTTTTATTGCTTTATATGTAGATGGATATTGGAAGAGAAGAGTTTCAGCCAAAATAAACAAATGGTGCTGTAAAATATTTACAACATAGACACACTAAATGTTTTTGCTTTTTTTTATTATTATTTATTTTTGTTATTGTTTTGGCATTTTTCTTTTGCATAGTATAAACTTCATATGGATCAGTGGCTGATGTGCATTCTTGGCTATGTTTCTGCAAAAGGATAGTTACTACATGAACTTAAGTGTCCGTGAACGTGTATTTTGTAAATTATAATATATTTAAAGGAGTTAAATCTCGATTCTTTGGAACCTGGATTGGACGAAAATGGGTAAAAAAGCTTATATTAAAGATACATTATGGGAACTTTGATAATGAGTTGGGAGTTCTCACTATAATAGTTAAAAACTAGATAACGTAAAATTTCGTTATAAATTTCATTCAAATTGATCCACTATGAACCAAGAACTAAGCGAATAAAATTTCTGCCTAGCCTCGGTCATCATTACTTAAGTCAGTACGTTAAACAGCATAGTCTCGATTATCCATTTAATCGTTTAATCGAGAAGGAAAGTTATGCAGTAAACCGGATCACAATCCAGGCTAGCGATGCCATCTGGAGTTGATTATGGTCTGGATAAGTTAATTAATGTCTAATTAATAATTTAGATAACATTTCAGGCCTAAAGAAAGACCAGCAATGGACAGATTTAGCTCTTGCATAATGTATGTTTAATATAAATACGAATAGATATAAAATGGTTTACATTTTAATTTGTTTTAGAATTTTTATTGTAATTTCTTATCAGTTGTGGTCGTCGAAATAAGGGAATAGTCTAGATTGAATGGCAGTCGCTCAAGCCTGGTTATTCCAATCTACATCGCGCACTGAGGTTTTGTTTCGTTTATCAAGGCGCCCCATTACAAATGGCGTTAAAGAGCAGAGAGTGCACAACTTCGTCGCCTACTTGCCCGGGCAGAGGGGCTACGGCCTACTCTTATATCGAATTCCAACTGACAAGCGGGAACCACACCGGAAAATCTAGATGAGCTTTCTCGGCCAATGCAGGGATCGAACACCCGACCTCCAGGCTAGCGAGCCAGTGTCTTACCCACTTAGCCACGTGATCCCCTAGCACACTGCATGACTTACGCCCGTCTTCATTAGCCCAGTATAGGAGCAGAAAAGTAGGACGTTAAACCCCATTTCATTTCATTACCTTGGGCACCCCCCTGCAAAGACACTGTGTCGCACACAAATCAAACCGTGGCTTCCTCTAAATTACCAGCACTGAGCCTAAACAATAACTCGCTCCAATCCACGGCCTAGCTGGATCAAACCTATTTAGTGGTTTCCTCTGGCACGTTTCTTAGGAAACACTTGTCTACGATATTACCCATGGTGGAAGTGGACGTAAAACTCCAGGAACAAAAGAACGGTGACAGCCGCAAAATGACCTTCAGTCATTCGGCAAACCTCGAATGGACCTTCAGTGTGAAAGTTACTACACTCTCAGTCAGGGCCCGCGAGAGAGGGGCAGAGAAACAACTGGGACACTTGTCCAGGGGCCAGTATGCCAACTAAGGTTTTGGTAGAGATATGTTACTAGAAATTGATGAAAAAAATCCACTGTTACTTGATCGTAAAGTAGACGAAAACCGGTGACTTTTCTGAATGTGGGTACTTAATGGCGTGGGTAGGATTAGAATCGGATTCTGTCAGTCCACTTTGTTTTGGATAAAACTATAGGGCTCCTGTCCGAGCCTTCTCGGATTCTGTCAGTTCACTTTCAGGGAAAAATTGGTGAACTAAACACTACAAGCTACCTTTCCGGACCATCATGTCATGGGGCCCAATCCGACGTCGTGTCGATTGGGGCTCTCGTCACCAGCAGGTAATCGGTGCCTTGTCCGGACCTGTAGAACGCTACAATGATGGTAAGGGCCAGTGCTGCAATCTGCCGGCAGTGATCATGTATGCAGTTATCGATCGCTCTTTGTAGACTGACTGGTATCTCCGATCATTAAAAACGAAACTGAAAGCGAAACATTTACTTTCGTCTTTGTTTTGTTAGCCGCTAACAATTTCGATGATTTTCGATATTTTTGCCAATTGCAGACCAATGTTTTTTAGCAAAGTCAAACCAATATGACGATAGGGACCATGTAGTTTTTTTTTAAAAATTTCGAGCTCGAGTTAGAGAGACCACACACACGCACATACACGCGCGGACACGACACCCCTCGCCGAGATGTTTGTCCCAGGGGCAAAATCGCAGAAATTTTCATTCTTTAGCACGTTCTGGTTATGTGTACCCAACGCCCGGTACGTCCCCGCTACATCTCTATTCTGAACGGCCGCCATATTGAAAATGCGGTTCTAATCCGTTCCATACACTCAAAGACTGCATAAAGATTATAAATGTCATTAAATATAAAAATGGAAGCTGAATAAATACAATTAAAACCTCTTAGTGTTTTCGACTAAAATCGTCAAAATGATAATTAAAATGGCGGTCAACCAGCTTCGTGTCTGTTTTCAAGCCGGTTTAATTATAGACAGACA